AATGGGAGAAAATATTTGCCAGCTACATATAACTAAACTCCCCCCAAAAATCAAATACTCAGTGAGGAAATGGGCAAATGAACTGAACAGAGGTTTTTCAAAGGAAGAAGTCCAAATGGCCAAAATCACATGAAGAAATGATCAGTGACCTGGCCATAAAGGAAATGTAAATCAAAACATCTTAAGATTCCACCTCACTCCTGTTAGAATGGCTACCATCAAGAACACAAACAACAACAAATGTTGGCAAGGATGTGGGGGGAAAGGAACCCTCATACACTACAGATGGGAATGTAAATTAGCATAACCACTATGGAAAACAGTATGGAGGCGCTTCAAAAAGCTAAAAATAGAATTGCCATATGATCCAGCAATACCACTCCTGGGGATATACCTGAAGGAATATAAGTTAGGTTACAACAATGGCTTCTGCACACCCATGTTTATGGCAGCACTACTCACAACAGCTAAGCTATGGAAACAGCCAAGATGCCCACAACTGATGAACAGATTAAGGAAATGTGATTTTCCTATACAATGGAATTTTATTCAAACATAAAGAAGGATGAAATTTTGTCACTTGTAGGTAAATGGATGGAACTGGAGAACATCATGTTAAGTGAAGTTAGCTAGGTTCAGAAAGCCAAAGGGTGCATGTTTTCTCTTATATGTGGAATGTAGACCTAATACAAATACAGCAATATTATGAAAAACAGGTCACACTAAGGACAGTTCACAAATGGTAGAGGGATGGTAAAAGAAGGAATTTAAGAAGGTGAATATGGGTGATGTACTTTCTGTACAAGAATGAATATAGAATTTCTAAACCTGTTGAAACTACCATAAGAAGCGGACTAAGGCAGAAATGAGAAAAATAGAGGGGATAAACCAATTTGGGTTATAATACATACACACATGGAAATGTCACAAGGATACTCCCTGTATAGCTACCTTAAACAAACAAAACTGTCTTTTTTCAAAAACAGAGAACAGAAGGGTAAAACAGGTCCTGTCTAGGGGTTGGTACCAGTGGGAGAGGGGAGGATATAAGGAAAGTGTATAGGAGGGTAAGTATGGTGGGAATAGTATGTGCACATGTATGCAAGTGGGAAAATGAGACCTGTTGAAACTATTCCAGGAACTGGAGAGCAGGGAAGGGGAATGATGGAAAGAGTGGATTTAGCTATTATATATTGTAAGCACATTTGTAAATGTCACAATGTACCCCTAGTACAACAAAAATATGTTTAGAAAATAAACAAAAGAACTTCTGCCTTCCTCTGCGGGGCAGCTCAGCTGTTAGCTTAGCTTAGCTGTTCCAAGTCCTGACTGCACACCATAATCGCCTGGAAGCTTTCAAATTGTGCAGAGGGAGGAGATGTCATCTCAAACTAATTAAATCAAATGCTCTGTGGCTTGAGCCCAGGCCTGGGTATTTAAAAAATGTTCCCCAAGTGTTTTGAAGGTGTAGCCAAGCTTGCGAACCACCAACTGCAGTAATTTTCATTAATAATTGTCAGTTATTAGAGCTTTTCCTTCTTGTCTGTATTAAGCTGAAACTTTACTGTAGGTAATGATTGTCTCTTTTCTTTCTTTTTCTTTTCTTTTCTTTTCTTTTTTTTTTTTTTGGTGACAGTTTCTCACTATGTACCCCCAGCCTGACATCAAACTTAGAATCCTCTTGCCTCTGCCTCCCCAGTGCTGGATTATAGATATGAGCCACCATACCTCATCTAGGGCCTCATACTTGCTTCAGTGCTGTACCACAAACCTCTAGCCCTTTTGTTTTTATTTTGTTTTTGAGACAAGGTCTTGTTAAATTTGCCCAGGCTGGCCTTGAACTGAGATCCTCCTGTCTCTGCTTCTGGAGTAGCTGGATTATAGATATGCACAACTATGCCCAACTGCTACTAATTCTTATTAAAGAATTTTGGTATGTCACTAAGTTCTTCCACTCAAAGATATTTTAATGCTATAGTGGTTCAGAAGATATAATCTCTGAGATCTACTTTCTCTAGGGAAAATGATTTATTTCTAAGAGTGCAGGATGCAGTCTCCATTAGTTGTGTAGGGCCTCTACCCTTTGATGAATGGAGTTACTTGGTTGTTTATGAATATTTTATAGATAATATGGATCCAAACATAGATTAACAAAAAATAGGAGCGGTTTCTCCCTTTAAATGCATGGACCTGTACTTGCTCAGCCCACCTCACATCCCTCATCCAATCCCAGCCCTCTCAGAATTTGTGTCTATTTAACATTTTGATGTTTTGTACATTGTGGCTTTTTCTACTGATTTTGTATTTTTAAATATTGCATTAAAATATTATTTATCTTAAGTCATTGGCCTTTTAGATCCCTCTTAAATTTGTTTGTTTTTTTGAAACAGGGTCTCTATATGTAGCCCTGTCTGACCTGGAACTTGTGATCCTACTGAGTGCTAAGATTATGGGTGTGTACCACCACATGAATCTTCCTCTTAAATCTTGCACCTAAGGTGAATGACTTACTTGCATTACTCTACTCCTGGCTCTGGTCTTAAAATAAATGTATAAGCAAATTAATAATTTCTTAACTATTAAATACATTTTCTAATGTGGAATACATGCACTAACTTAAGAAAAAGGGTGTGTGATAGGAAGTGACCGAGTGGATAATTTGGATGATCAGGAAAAACCTATTGAATAGGATGTTATTTAAGGTAAGAACCAAAAGTCATGAAGGGGCCAGGCATAGGAAAGTTTGGAGAAAATCTTGTGAAAAGGTATCAAGGTGAAAATGTTCCTAAAATTTTCAATGAATGAACACACAAAAAAAAGACTATTATGGTCAGGTGTCAAGAGCATGATAGGTGACTAGCATGCAATTTGGGTAGTGTTGTAAGAAAGGGATCAAATTTTAGGCTTTCTAAGCTGGGGCATGGAGTTTGAATTTTATTTCAAGTGCACAGGAAGCAATTGAAGGATTTTAAGCAGGAGAGCAACATGACTTGATGGACCTTTCAAGTAATTCCTTCTGGCAGTTGTGTCAAAATTAGATAATGGGGACATGGGAGGTGAAGGAGTAGAATCAGGAGAACTGTCAGTGTTCCTAGTGAAAGAAAATGGTGCCTTGTACTAGGGTGCTTATAGTGGAGATGGAGAAAGGGTAACAGGTCTCAGAAACACTTTAGAAATTGTTGATTGGGCTTGATAGGTTAATGTGGACAGTGAGGAAAAAAGAATCAGAGGTGATTTCAAGTGTTTTCACTTAAGCAATTTAGTAGATTAGATGGTGGTATCATTTATTGAAATGAAAAAAGGCTGAGGTTCAGAGGTGAGTATACAATGAATTTTTCAATTTTGTGTATGTTGGGTTTGAGATGCCCTTTGGATATACATTGAAACAACTACTATTGTTTCAGGAGTTTGCTAGCTGAGATACAGGACTCTTGAGGCAATTAGCAGGAAGCAATGTTTTGTTGTGCCAGCACAGACTCAGTGGACTCATGTCCAAAGGCTGAGCCTCCAGAACAAAGGCATCTCACCTTATATACCCTTGCAAGCAGGTTACAGAAGCAAAAAGCAAGGTCTAATCCATATATGGTTATATTTAATTTTATTGGCTACTTTATCCTAGTGCTACGTGACTTTCCCCTCTCTGGTGTTGTGTGACCTTCCTTATGTTCAGATTTCTCAGGTTTTCTCTCTCTGCTATGCTATCCCCACCTCACTGCTACTTTCTCAGGACTCAGGCCTAGTCTGTTTTTTTCTGATCCTCCTCCATGCTACAGTATGAATTGAGGGAAAGGGAGGAGGGACAGAGCTGAAGACATGTGGGTTTCACCATGAGTGGCTTGTTAGAAATTACAGTGGTAATGGATAGAATAACCTAGGGATATGGCACAGATGGAGAAAAGCAGGGAGGGAGGCTGGGGGTGTAGTCTTGGAGCAGCTGTTGAAATAGAAGGGCTGAGGGGCAAGGAGAAAAGAAGTATGGGGACCTATCGGCACAAGAAGAATGTGTCTTAAGAATGGGATGAAAGGTACAGGTGGCTTAGGCCTGTGATCCTAGCTACTTGGGAGGATGAGATGTAATTCAGGTGACCCCATCTCCAAAATAACCATAGCAAAATGGAGTGGAGGTGTGACTCAAGGGGTAGAGTAGCTGGTTTGCAAGCATGAAGCCCTGAATTCAAACCCCACTCCCACCAAAAAAAAAAAAAAACCCAACCAGCCAACCCAACAAAAGAAAGAGATGAAGAACTGCACTGAGAACTAAGAGGTGGAGAAATGTTCAGGATGGATAAGAAGCAAATTAGGGCTGGGGGTGTGCTCAGTGGTAACTGAGCCTAGCATGCCTGACTACTTGGGTTCAACTCCGAGCACCCCCTCCCAACAAAAACTAACAAACCTCCACGTGGAGCTCACTGGTTACTTGTAGAAGACAGTAGTCCTTTGGTGTGAAGGGCACAAAAGCGTGATGGGGTAGACTGAAGAGAGAGCAGAAAGGAAGGATGTCAGTTTGATTATCATTGTCAGTTTACTAATGAGGAAATCGAGGCTTAGGGTAGTTGACTATCTCAGTCAAAGCAAAGTCTGGAGCATCAGATTCTTAACCCAGAGTGCATAAAATGATGCTACATTTGGGGCAGCTATGCAAGAGATCAATCCCGCTCTTTCTCACACAGTACAAGCTAACGCTTTACTCAAATAAGCATTTGACTTAAATCACCCTTCCATCATGCCGGCCCACTGTGAAAAGAAGGCACCAGAGGGCCCAGCTAGGGCTGGGTAAGGCCAAACACCTTCCCACCCTGGGCAGCGAGCACGCCCGCCCCTTTTCCGCAGCCCCGGCCGGCGCGTTCTACTGCGGCTGCGCGGGCCGAGCGCGCGGCGGGGGCGGGGCGAGGGCTCTTGGCCGGCGGGGGCGGGGCAAGGACGCCTGACCGGCGGGGGCGGAACGCGGAAGGAACGCACGGGAGCTGCGAGGCGAGGGCCGCGCGGGGGGCGGGGCCGGCGGGAGTGCGGGCGAGCGGTGACAGGTGCGCGGACAGGCGTGCGAGACCGAGAGCGGCGGCGGCGGCGGCGGCGGTTGTTGCAGAGGCCTGAGGAAAGGAGACGCGGCGGCGGCGATGCTGGAGACTCTACGCGAGCGGCTGCTGAGCGTGCAGCAGGATTTCACCTCCGGGTGGGTATGCGGTGGGCGTCCGAAAGGGACCCGAGGGCTCCGGGGCCGGTGGAGGAGGGCCCCCCCCCCGCGACGGCCGCCCAGGACAACCCTGCGCTCCGCCGAGGAAAGTAACGAACTTCCCCGCGTCGGGTCGCACGAAGTAACTTGGGTCGCGGCGGGTCGGCCCGACTCTCGCCCCGGGACTGGCGGCGGGGTGCGGGCCGCTCCCTCTCCCTCCCCTCCGCCCCCGCCGCGGGACTCCCCGATTCCTCCAAAGCGGCCTCCGAGAGCTCTGGGGCCGGGCCCGCGGTCCCCGTCCTCTCCTTGGCGAAGGAGTTGGGCAGGAGAACCGCAGGCCTGCCTCAGGGCCGTCAGCCCCCGGGGCCGACAGCACACGCTTCGCAGACTTTGCGCTCAGCTGGGAGCCTCTCACAACCCCCATGCTCAGCTCGCACCGACTTGTCCATTAAGCCAGGAAGTCAGGGGACGAAGTTGAGAAAGATGTCCCGGTGATTCCAGTGGGCGCCAGGCTGCCGGGGTACGCGTCCATGCCCTGCCCCTGCGCCCCAGTTACCCAAACGGTCTCGCCCCGTCTCACTGCTCCAGCGACTGCAGAATGGGCTCAGTGATGGTCCTTGTCGCATAGGATTTTGAGTGTTACCGCATGCCAAACCGGCAGTAAGCCGAGGCGCCCTGGCTCACGTCTGTAATCATAGCTACTTGGGAGGTTGAGGTAGGGAGGATCCCGGTTTGAGGCCAGGCGGGGCAAATAGTTCTGGAGATCTCAACTTTAAAATAACCGGAGCAAAATGGACTAGAGGTGTGGTTCAAGCGGTAGAGCACCTGCTTTGCAAGCGTTAAGCCTTAAGTTCAAACCCCAGTCCCGGCAAAAACAAAACAAAACAAAACAAAACCAAAAATGGCAGCAAGCACTATGTCACTGTCACTACTACTTAATTGCTTCGGGAAAAGTGTCACCAGGCTGATAGAGTGCCTTCCTACCCAGCGTGAGACCCTGAGTTCAAACCCCAGTACCGCCAAAAAAAAAAAAAAAAAGTGTCACCTTTATAAAGGGTTGGTCACCCTTAGCTTACAAGTGTGTTTGGAGAATGGTCTGAATATGAGCACATCTTACACACATTGTTTTAAATTCTTAATGGGAGAGATGTTATAAACAAAAATGTTTATAACGTTTGCCTGTTGAATAGTAACAAACTGGCAAATAAATACTTGAAGCTTACCACATACAAAACATTTTTTGATAATTTTAGCTTGGTGTTCTTTATAATATTAATTACGGATGCCCAAGGAGTCATTCACTGATGGATGTTATTGTATGCTTGCATTATTTTTTCCTCCCTATAAATTTAGAGAAAGTAACTTCTGTCCAGAATTTAAATTAAAAAACAAAACAAAACTGGTGTGATGCTGCAGTAGCCTACTTGTAATATGAGAGTGGCTCTAGATAAAACTCATCCAGTATACTCCTGTTATGACTTTAAGGAATTCCTTCATGGTCTTGCAGTTTTTTTTTTTTTTTTTTTTTTTGGTAATTGCTGTAAGTCTAGGTCCCATGGTTGCCATAGAAGCTGTTAGTGGTCCTGACCTTCACGTCAAAGGTTTCTTGCTTAGAATGTGGACTCTGGACTGTCAAGGCTCACATGGTCCTAGGAAATCTGGATAACCATACAGGTTTAGTGTTTAGTTAGGGAGAGCCAAGGGGATCTGGTTAGTATAAGGTACTGCCGAATAAAGACCACGCCATGTGTGGAAAAGAAAGATTTATTGGAACCAGATCGCAGGACTGTCACTCTTTTCGGGTTCAGAGTGAAAAAGCTTGACTGAAAATGGGTAGTGGGCTTTATAGGAGGGGCCAAGCCATGGGGGAAGCAGAGAGTCTCTGGTCTCTGATGATCTTCGATCACCAGATGGAACAGGTCGACATGCCTGGCTAGTTGAGTAACTGGAAGTTCGTGAGATGTTTTGCAAACCGAGAAACAATCAGGCAGGGAGAAACAAGCAGTCATAAATCAGGGGGTCTGGTTTTGGTGCTAGCCTGAGTACCTTCTTCCCGCTCTAAAAATGCCGGGGACCTAACAGTTAGAATCTCTAGGAAACTGGTGCTATACACTAGGGCCAATTTAGAATTAGACATCCTGCTGGGCATGGTGGTATATTCCTATATTCTAGCCCTAAGGAGGTGGAGGCAGGGGAATTGCAAGCTTTAGTATAGGCTATATACCCTATTTTAAGAGAATAAAAAGAAAATCAAAGAAAAAACAAAAAGGCATTCTGAGAGAGCTTCATTCTATGTAGATCCTTTGTTGGCTTCCTTAGTTCACAGGCCACTTTCAGGACGAACCACTGGACTCTCAGTGTGTGCCATTAGCCTGTGATCTGGCAGATAAATAAATCATCTCCAAGTTACATCCGCCTGCCAGTGAACCAACAGCTCTAACCCCTGAAATTCTCTTTCCTTGGGTTGTCAATTTCCTGCACAGTTCCTATTAAGGAGAAAGCATAACATGATCTGTTTAGTAAACGCTTCCATATATGGCTTGAGAGCTGGCAATTTTAGAAATTTGAATATTTTTCCTTGCTGAAAAAAGATGAAATTAAACACAGTGTGCATATAGATGCACTGAGAGATGCAGATGAAAGAGACGTGGTGGTCATTTCCCCAAACTGTCAAATTGAACGTTGTATTCCTGTGGGACCCTTGGTGGTAGAGCAGGTGTCTTCTAAAATAATTCTAAATGTTCACGCTGCCCCAGGCAATCAGTAGATTGCTTCATGGTTTTCTGAGCCCCTGCGCCTACGGCTGTCTAGACTAGGATCCTCTCCATAGCTTTTCTGCTTATTGTCAGCTTTGGAAAAGTCATATATCCAGAGCTTGACTTTAGACAAATTTACTTTTTTTAAGTATGCTTTTTTAGTGAAATAGGACTGTTCTGTATCAGTCTCATAAGAGAATGTCATATTAGTGGTTAAAGCATATCCAGTGAACACAGTATCTGAGTTCATTCAGACTTAGAAAAAATTCAACTTACAGTCATGATTCTCAAAGGGCAGGGTGGAGATTACTGATGGTCTAGAGGGTCTCAAAGTTGTCTCTGGACTTGTTTTGTTCTGTCTTGCAGTGCTAGGGATGGAACCCAGGCCCTCACTCATGCAAGGCAAGTGCTCTGCTGTTGTGCTACATCACCAGCCTCTTGTGGCCTTCTTTGCAAATTTTTATTCATGCAATCATGTCAACACTGGGACAAACCTAATACTATGATTGTATCACACTGTTTCTGCCCTAAGTGGGTGGCAGGCTAGCCCAAAGGCCTTGATACTGGAGCCATTGGTTCTCTACCTCACATAGAGATCTTTCCCCTCACCAAGTCCTCATTTGATTGAACTCAGCATTCTTGGAGAATTTGGATGGTTCATATGGAATATTTGTTTAGGAATTGGCTTGAACGCTGAGGAAAACTTTTGACTTATACAGAAGCATAAACCTCAGAGCCATCTGAATCTTTTTACCAAAGACTTCAGAACTGAGGCGTTCTGGCATGAAAAGCCCTTCAGGGAACTGAAAATCAGATTTATTGAAGGTTTTCAGCTGCCTGTCACAGGCTGTAATGCTCTGGGTTCCTGTGATGAGGGATAGAAAGCCTGTTTGTTCCTATTGCATCTAGATATAAAGCTACACTACCCCATCCTCTACTCTTGCCAGTATCCTCATTCTCTCTTCTCCCCTCCTGTATGTCAAAATCTACACAAAGAAGAAAGAGGATCCTATAATTTAACTCACAGTATGGTCAATTGGTGGACTTTTGCTAGTGGTATGGACTTTTCCAGGATATCTATCTTCAGTCTATCTCTCTCTACTAGGGATTGAACCCAGGGCTGTGGGCATGCTAGGCAAGTTCTGTTCCACTGAGCTACATCCCCAGCTGATTTCTCTTTCTTAATAGGGAAGAAAAAACTCTCGGTGTTCAACCTGATTTAATAAAGATTTACTGATTTTTTTTCTACTGATTGTCAGACACTAGGTTAGGCAAAAGTGTTCTTTTTCATAGAAACGTAAAAAAGGTTCGAAAGGCCATATGCTCAGGTTTACCTAGTATTTACTAAGCAGTGTCTTTATATTTGGTTAGAACCTGGAGCAACCAAGTGATAGAAACAGTGTCTGCCCTCCAAGTGCCCTAGGCTGGTGGTTATAAGACAAAGCAAAATGGACTGAAAAAGATGCAGATGGCAGGGCTAGGGACCTGGCTCAAGAAGTAGAGCTCTTGCTTGGTACTCTCGGGTCAGTCCTCAGTGCCATGAACAAAAGAAAGGAAAGCATACGAGAGATGTGGTATATAAGCCCGGATGCATTTGTAGGCTTCAAAGAGGAAGTGGCTTCTGAGCTGGGCCTTGAATAAGGAGGAATTGTGATAGACTTGGGTTAGGGCATTTCAGAGATGAAGCAGTTGTAGGAGGAACAACTGGAAAGGAATTCAGTTCCTGATAAGAGAATCTTCAGTGCTTTGCTTAGTAATCAAATATTTATTCAGCACTTTTTAATTTTTGGTGGTACTGGGGTTTGAACTCAGGCTCTACCATTTGAGTCATACCCCCAGCCTTTTTTTTTTTTTTTTTTGCTTTAGTTATTTTTTAGGTAGGGTCTTGTGGTTTTTTTGGGTTTTTTTTTGCCACCCTGTGCTGGCCTGGGACCTCCACCAGTAGCAGATACACACCACCATATCCATCTTGATTTTTGAGATAGGGTCTTGCTAACTTTTTTTTTTTTTTGTGGCATGAGCTGGTCTTCAACCATGATCCTTCCATCTCCACCCCTTGAATAGCTTGGGTTATAGGTGTGTACTGCCATGCTTGTTCCTGAGTGCTTACTTTGTAGCAGGCACTATTGTAGGTGCTAAGAATATAGCAGAGGACAACTGGACAGCAAATACAGTTCCTACTGTCATGCTAGTGACAGGCAGAATACCTAGAAGATCATAAGTACTATGGCTAAAAATCAGGTTCCAAAATATTGTGTATTTCTGGGAAAATACTCCCATATTTCTGGAAGAATAACTTGGGAGGCAGTGTAGTAAGAAAACTAGTTGATGGGAAACAGAGAGATGAAGCTGTAAATATGGGCTAGTAAGAAGCGATGAGGCAGTGCTGTAGAAATTTAGAAAAGGAAAGGTGTGTCACAGGCCGTGGTTAAATTTGTGAGCAGTGAGATGTAGAAGATGAAAAAGGTGCAAAAAATTGAGAGTGTTGATTTTGGAATGTCTTAGATAAAGGAGGACATGTGCCAACATAGAATAAGTTTGAGGGAGAAGTGCCATCAATGGTAAATTTGTTTTGAGGTATACTCAGTTTCCAGCTGAAGCAGTATATTTTGCATTACTTAGGGCAAAGCTGGTCTAAATTATTTTCCTTTGCCTATGCAGCCATGGTGTGACTTTCTCAGGCTTTGGAGCTTTTGAGTGTAATTTGTACTTGTGAGTGTGATTAATGCTGTTATTTCCCCTGATCTTGTTTGAGAGAGGTTGATAAACACTACTGTGAAAATACAATAATTGGATTTGGATTTGTAAACAATGTAAAGTTAAAATAATGGAAGTGTGAGCATGGTTTAAAGGAATTGAATCTTATGACAAAATATGCTGACATATTTTTGTGGTATTTTAAAGCAACCATCATCCCATTTCCAGATAGCTGATGATGTAGACAAGTTGAAATGACATCCAGCTCACCTCACATCTTTGAGTCAGCTAGCAGTTCTGCTCGATAGTCTTTGTAGCATGCCATGCATCATTCTGTTCACCTGCTACTTTTTGAAGTTTTTGTCTAGGCAGTTTTGTGAATCATCTCTACTTCTTAGTTAGAGGCCTCCATTTTAGTATTTTCTCCAAAGCTTGAAGAAATAAATATGCCGGTGTTAAATTAAGGTTATGACTTTGGAGCCACTTAAAAATAAAATTATTGAACTTTTATGATGAATTTGAGGTTTAGTGCTTTGAACTTGAAAGTGTGCATTAGTAGAAAATAATTGTCAAATGGCTTACTTCAATCAATACATACTCACATAGCACTTATGACTTCCTGGAGGCATGCTACTAGGAAGAAGATTGTGAATGGGGCAGGGAAAGTCTTTTATAGGAACTGGTACATTGGGAACCTCCACTATTTTTTCACCCTGGCCTAATAATGTACATAGCTTTTCAACTTTCTTAATGATGATAAATTTTACTATCATTTAATTCATTCATTACTGTTAGCCCTATAACTTCTCAGAAGGACACACAGGAAATATTTGGAATTTTGCTTCATTCTCAGCAAATTTTTATGGTTGAATCTAATACTACAATTTTGTGTTTGCGGAAACTGAGCTACTCCCCTAGGATCAGTATTTCTTTCCCAGCATTGTGGGACATTAAAAAGAGTTTATTAGTGAGCTGTTACCTACACAGAATCAAAGTGAGAAATTTAAGAAAATTTGAAATTTTTTAAATTTGAGATTTCATTTCAAAATTAAAATGGTAAACTACTTTCAGTTGACTTCTGGTTGGCTGGATTTTCTTTGGCAGTACTAGGATTTGAACTCAAGGCCGTATGCTTGCTAGGCAGGTACTCTACAGCTTGAGCCACTTCACCAGCCCCACTTTTGGTTTTTAAGGATGTATTTTAGAAGGGACCTTTTGTTATTTTATTAAACATTTTGTTATTTTATTAAGTATATCTAACCCTATATTTTTATCTTAAAATAAGAATAGTAGTGTTTGTAATCCTGCATCCTTTTCTCTCCTGAGCATTCTTGAATTTTTCCAATGCCTCTCTAGTTACTTTTATGCTTTTTCCAACAGTTTCTAGCCTCAATTTTGACAAATTGACAATTTATTTGGAGAGGTGTAGTAAGAACAGAATAATATCTAAAAACTTTCTGTTAATTTTTTAACAAAGTTTCAAACATACACAAAAATAGAATAATACAAGGAACTCCATGCATCCATTACTCAGCTTCAGCAATTTTCAGATAGCACCACATTTGCTTTGTCTTTCCCTCTATTTAAAAAAGTAAATCTCAGAGTTGTCCATTCCACCTCTCATGTATCAGCTTGCTTCACTAACAAAAATACAGACATTACATAAATATCGTAGCTAACAAAATTAACACTAATGCCTTGATATTATCAATTACCCAGTCCATAATCAGATTTCCTTGTTTCTTAGAAATGTCTTTTGACAGCTGGTTTTTTCAAATCCAGATCAAATAAGTTCCACACATTATGTGTGGTTAAAGACCAATTTTAAAACAGATGGCTGTTAAGGAGCCACATGGGGAGCGATTATTGAATCTTCCAGCAGTTTGATTTTCAGCCCCTGCACCACTCCTTTCCCTTTTATTCAAACTAGCTAGTTTTTTGGGGGGAGGGGAGGGAATGGGGTGGAGTAGAGGGAACAAGGGGTACCTCAAACTCGGTATATTTGAGAAATTAATAGTTTATTTTAGAAATACATGTTTGAAAAAACAACCTGGAGATTTGCTAAATCATATACTTAGAGTGGGTCAAAGAGGATCTTAGCAGTTCTCTTTCACATCTAACTGTACAGCATTGTCTTGAATTATTAAAAAAATGCTAGAATCATTTGAGTGTGATGCCCTGCGGTGTATGACTATCCTGGGTTAATCTACCTGAGTTGTTTGAACTAAATGCCTGTCTCAGATTTTGGAGTGGAAATGGTAGAGCATAGCTATAAACATATCTTTTCCTGGCTTTTGCTTAATCTTTGTTTAAACTGGATTGACTAGTTTCCAGCATAAATTTAGAAATTTATATTGTTTCTCTGCGATAGATGAGCTGTTTATGCATTTTTCTAGACTCATCTAAAGAGTTACACAAATTAGTTTTGTATTGAAGAGATTGCAGAATCTTTTGAGCATTTTAGAGAAATTAATTTCATCAGTATTTTATTTTTTGAAAAAGACCATAGTGTAATATAAAATTCTGTGAATGAAATTAGCATTTTAATCTGGTTTAAAGTATACATTTGATCACAAACCCTCTTCTGGTGCTTGGCTGGGAATTATTGACAGAAAGATGGAATCTTGGGTCCAGACCTGCATGTACAGTTGTGCAGGTTGTATACATAGTACAATGCAGGGGTAAGGCATTCAGGCAAGAGTCAGCTTATACTTTAGGTTCTGGTTGATGGGAGTAAAGTGTCTTTCGGAAAGAGCACATATTTCCTTCTTTTTTTTTTTTTAAACAAAAGCTTTGTAGGGATTAGCAACGTTAATGTGACTTACTGAATGTTCCAGTCTCTATTTAGAAATGATTGTTTTTGAAGTAAATGAGATCATGTACAGTAATATTTCTTATGAAATTTTCTCATATTCTAGTGCTTACTGACAAGCTCAGTTGTCTGGAAAAGAGTCTACAACCAAGAGAAAGTAAAACTGGGCCAGTGAAGTGAAAATAAATTATATAGTCTGTGAACATCATATTTTACATTTAGAAGAGCCTGTTAATTTTATATGTGTAGTTCTGGTCCATTTACGTGTTTCATGTTAGATAGCTAACATGAACAGTTAACCAAGAGTAGAGATAGAAAAGTATAAACACTCACACCACACACCCCCCCCACACCCCCCCCCCACACAAGCTCAAGCAGACTCATGTCTACCATAAACTGGTTTTAGGTAAGCAAAGGAAGGTGCATTACCAGCTCGGAGACATGGGGGAAAGTTACTGTTTTGCTGCTAAATGTAGCCAAGTACTCATAATAATAAATCAGTATTACAGAAAATGTTAAATGGGGTATACCAAATCCTCTTCAGTAAAAGAAGTTTTTAATGTATTTTAAAAAGCTCGTTATCAACTTAAATTTCAATAATGTGGGTGCTTAAAGAGATTTGAGTGCCCAGAATGTATCAGGTAAATAAAATATGCTGCTTTGTGTATATTTATCTTTGTTACTTCTTGAGTTCACCTACGTGAACCACTACTTTTTCTATGATACACCAGATAAAGTTAGGTTTCTCTACACAAATCTCAGTTAGGAATCACTTTTTTTTTAAAGGGGGATTTAGAGAAAGTAAAAATATAAAAATTGCTACTGATTTTTCCATGTGTGGTTTTTGTCATATAGTAGACACTCAAATTTGCTTATACATGTTCTGAAAATATTAGCTTATCCTACCTAAAATTGTGACAGCTTCAATACTTGTTGAAAATCTCAACCTATAAAAATATATTGTATGTTTGTTGAATTATAGGCTGAAGACTTTAAGTGACAAATCAAGAGAAACAAAAGTAAAAAGCAAACCCAGGTAAGCTTGGGCTAAGATTTTAATTTATGATAATTTGAATTTCATATAACTTTTGGTTGTATTGATAATAACTAAACTACTTAATGGGTTTTAGATCTGTTGAGTGCATCTGATTACAAAACAATTTGATTTTTTCTAAATTTTGTAGGATAGGGAACTTTTCAGATAAATTGTGAAGTAGTTAAAAAATGGTGAAGTACAATTGTTTTACACTGTGACAATCAATAGGTATTGTTTGATCACAATTAATTTATATTTATTCAGACTAAAGTAAAAATCCTACATTATTAAAAAGCAATTTAATAGTGAAACAACTTAATAGGTGAATCTCTTTAGTTACATTTCCTTTTTTATGAAAACATAATAATTGTGCTGGTTTTTGGTAAAGTGTGATCAGATTCACTTTCAACTTAGAGATGATGAACTTTGATCATGTATGTTTATTCTCATTAGTGTTTTTTGTATTATATATAAAGACAAAATTCAGAACAAAATGACAGTTGATATATTACAGTACATTAGCTCTGAAGGAATTCATTTTTCTAAAAATTTAGATAAATTGTGATTTTAAAATGTGTTACATTGACAGTGCCAGAATTCTTATATGTAACTTTTTTTTAAGTTGGCCAAATCTAAAAAATGTTAATAAAATGTTTCTTTTGCCAGGACTGTTTCCTATTTGCCCAAGTACTCTGCTGGACTAGAATTACTTAGCAGGTAAATACTTTCCTCTAAAGAAAGTTACACTTTTAACTATTGTCTAAAAATATAATTTTATAGGTATAAACCTTAAAACAGCTAAATTTTACCATAATACAATGAGTGGAAATTACTTACTCTTTCTTGAAGGCTTTCACTTTCCACTGGTTAGTACAGAGGCGATCCAGACTTTGGACAGATGGATCACTGTTGTGGCTACTTTGTTATATACAGTTTTTTGGAAAAAACTGATTCTGAATTTGAGTCCTCAATAGTTTGGTTTCTTACTTTGAATCTTTAAAAAAAATTTTCCAGGCTAACCTGGAACTTGTTATGTAGCCCACGCTGGCCTCAAACTCCTGATTCTCCTGCCTTAGGCTCCTTCTTGCCTGGTTTTACCTTGATTCTTAATTTTATACCATTTGTTTTTCAATAACTTCCCATTGACATGCAGATTAATATTAAAATAGTATTTTCGTAGACATGCCATCAAAAGCAAAGCAACAAAAGAAAAAAATATGTTGGACATGATCAAAATTAAATACCTTGGGAGCGGGGTGCCGAAGTTGTAGCTCAAGCGGTAGAGTGCCTGTCTGGCAAGTGAGAGGCCCCAAGGTAAACCTAAGTACCATCAAAAAAATAAATAAAAATACTTTAGTGCTTCTAGGAACCATTAAGAAAGTGAAACAACAACCCATAGAGTGGGAGAAAATATTTGCAGATCATAAGCTGATGAAGGTCTTGTATGCTGAATGTATAAAGAACATTTATAACTCAACAATTAAAAGACAACCCAGTGAAAAAATAGACAAGGGTCTTCTAACTCTTAACTGGATTGCTTGTATGGTTACTAAATTTAAAGATTTTTCTTGTTTGAAATGAAAAGTGTTGATTTGATACTAATTTCCTGTTGGTCTTACTGAGTAAAGAACATAAGTGAACATGAGAAGAAGCATTGTAAAAATTAACCAGTCATATTCCGTTTCACTTTTTTGGGGGAGGGGGGTACAGGACATCCAACCAGGGCCTTGTGCAGGCTAAGCAAGTGTGCTATCTGAGCTACACTTGTAGCCTGCCTGTTTATTTACATTTTAGCTGTAGTTTTTCTCTAGTGACTTAGTTGAAATGAACTTTATTTCATTGAAAGATTTATTTTGGAGGTGTCGACTTTTACATGAGGTAGTTTTTTGGGATAGGGATTCATTTATGGCTTAATGAAAAATTTACAAACAAAGTATCTATAATATGTCTAGTCTTGTCTTACTTAAGCTACTTCAGTATTTAAACTACTTCAGTGTGTGTGTTTATTCCTGGGGGAGGATGCCATTTTAAATGGTGAATATCTAAATCATATTTTTTAATTCTTAAAATTGTAATAAAATGTAAATAACAAACTCTGCCATCTTAACTATTTTTAAGTATACAGTTTAATAGTGTTAAGTAGTACATTCACATTGTTATGTCTCCAGCCCCTGAAACTTTCCATCTGACAAAACTGAAACTCTGTAACATTAACCAATACTTCTCCATTCCTTCCCCCCAGCTCCTAGCAATCATCCTTCTATTTTCTATATGAATTTAATTACTCTAGACCTCACAGATGTGAAGTCATAGAACATTTGCCTTTTGTGACTAGCTTATTTCACTAAGCATACATGTATGAACCTTGAAAACATTGTGCTAGGGTCAGTAAGTAGTTCATTCACTCAGTGATAGACATTTGGGTTGTTTCTGCCTTTTGGATGTTGTGAGTAATACTGTTGTGGGTGTGCAGGTGTCTTTTTGACACTCTGCTTTCAGTTCATTTGGGTTTATACTGAGATACAGAGTTGTTGGATCATAAGACACAATTTTTAATTTTTGAGGACTCTATCCTTCTGGAATGCCCACAGGGCATATATTGGTCCTCTTGATGGTGGTCTCTTAGACTCTGTTCATTTTTCTTCAAACTTTTTTCTTTTCTTTGACTTGGTAATTTCAGTTGTCTCATCTTCAAACATATTCATTCTTCCACCTGTTCAAATCTGCTTTTGAGTCCTGCTAGTAAATTTTTCATTTCAGTTACTATATTTTTCATCTCGAATTTTCTTACAGGTTCTTTCCTATGTTTTCTCTCTTTACTGATATTACCATTTTGTTCGTGTATTGTTTTCTTTATTCATGTCTTTTAGCTTTTTAAATACTGTTGTTATAAGATCTTTGTCTAGTAAACTTACATCGTCTTTCTCAGGGAGGTTTTTAATCAATTTGTTGTTTTCCTGGGTTTTTTTTTTTTTTTTTTGTATGCCTTATGAGTTTTTAATTGAAAACTTGACATTCGAATTATGTAATGGTAATGCTAGAGATTGGATTTTCCTTCCCCAAGGTTTGCTGTTTTGGTTTGGATTGTTGCAGTGTCTCTGTTGGTGTTCAATCTAAGGTATAAACTTAAAGCTTCCTTAGGGTGTTTCTGAGCCTGTACTGTCACTGGGCCTGTGAGGTGACTTTCCAAATCCTCGTGAATGTCCTAGTCCTTAAATGTCTGGCTCCTAAAGAGGGAATAGACAAAAGTGGAGATCAAAACCAGGCACTGGCATTTTAAATCTGCTGAAAGTCTCTTTAATAACAGCAACAGGGATTTGCAACAATGGTTACCTCTGTGCCTGCATCTTCCTGATCAGAGGCAGCAGTTAGTGATCAGAACACAGATCCCCAGTAATTGGAGAATGAGGTCCTTATTGCCTGCCTTAGCTCCCACCAGCTGTACACAGGCTACTTCAGGAGCAAGTGTATGGCTGCTTCCTGGGTTGGGAGTGAGGGAATGAGTAGCTGCTACTCTGCTAAAAACAGACAGACCAAACTTAATTGACCAAAATTCATTTCAATTTTCCATTCAAGCCTTCCCATATAAGTAGCAGACCTTGAATAGACTCCACTTCATCATACAGGCTCTATCAGTGCAGCCATGGTCAAGGTGGGAGACGATTCCTGGAGCTTCTGACTGTGGCCTCTAGGTCATAACTTTTTAAGCAGTGCAGGACAACACAGTTAAGTATTAGACTTCTGTATTCTTATAGCTCTAATGCTTTGTGATTAGCACTTTGATGTCTGCCTGAGAAGGTCATTATTTATGTGCATGTTGGCTTGCCTGTATTGTGAACTCTTCCACTAGTTCTATTATGATATGTAGAGAATGTGTTCAGTAATTATTTGAATTAATGAATTATTGCATTAGGAATGTGGTTTCTTCATTTTTTTCATATTGACTTCCAATTTGAGAGATACTTGAAACCAGGAAAATTGAAAGCATTTATATCCAGGGTCTTTATCTCAACAGAGTTTCAAGGCTGCCTGAGGGGTATAACGTTTGCACTGTGGGCTTCAGGGAGCAACCTATCTAGCAGGAATGGATTCTTAAAAGCTGCTGATTGGCAGCAGTGGCAAAGGAGGAAAGAAGAGAAAATGAATGGCTGAGTTAATATAGACTGTTATTCAGGAAATGCCATATATAGCAGAGAAATCGCAAACTAGGAAGGTCGACATGAGAGAGAGTTATATGTAATGGGAAGGAGGGTGTGATGGGAAAAAAAAGAGATAATGGCAGGTAAAGAGTGATCTGGAGTCTAAATGGAAAGCAATGATTAATTTTTTCTTTTCCACTAATTAAGAAAGTGATAGAAAATTTTGCCATGAATTTGAGATTTGAAATTAGTGTGTTCATTCCTTCATTCAGCAGACATTTAGTAAGTCCTGTGTGCTAGGTACTAGGACAAGAAAGATGCAGAAATAAAATTCATCTCAGCAACTCTGGTGCATAGCAATGCCTGGCATTCAGTGAATACTTGTTGATTTTAATTGATACTTACACAATGTGATACACCAGAGAAAATTCTCAAGCTTTCTGTTAGTTGGCCGTGACAGTAGACTATATTAATTATGTGACCTTGCACCTTGCTTTTCATTGCTGGTAACAGTCTGTTGGGATTATCAGATTTGCTTCATATTTAAATTTAACAAGAAAATCTCCCCATGACTATTGAAGGGAGATAGTATAAATTCATCAAATACATATTCCTATTTAGAGAATTGTACTTTGATATCTAGAATTTTAGATAAGATGAGAAATCAAGTTTTTTATGAGCTACTATATAGATAGTAGTTCAGCAATTGTGTTTATTTACTTTCCATCTTGAAATAATTTTGGACTTTAATGAAAAAGTTGCAAAAATAGAATAATGAATTCCAGCTTCCCCAGTCTCAGCATTTTGCATAGCCATAGTACAATGATCAATAACAAAATGATAATGCTTTACTACAAACCTTATGTAGATATCATCAGTTGTCTCCCTGATTTTTTTTTTTTCTTTTGGACCAAGATCAAATCCAGGACCACACATGTTTAGTCACTTATGTCCTTCATTTCCTTTAGTTCAGAGCAGTTCCTGAGTCTTTGTCTTTTGTGATCTTGGCACTTTAGAAAAGTACTGGGTAGTTATTTTGTAGACTATTCATCAGTTTGGGTTTTTCTTCTCTTTTCTGATGGATAAATTCAAGTTAGTGCCTTTTTTCAGGTATATTAGTTAGCTAATATATTTGTCGTGACCAAAATACCTGATATAAACAACTTTAAGGGAGAAAGGATTTATTTTGGCTCATGGTTTCAGAGGGTCTAGTCCATTATGGTGGGGAAGGAATAGGTGAGCAGAGCAGCTCACATCATGGTGACCAGGAAGCAAAAAACACAGAGATATGAGGGGCCAGGGACAAGATACTCCCAAGGACCTGTCCCCATACTCATGTATATTTGTTTTATTCTACTAGTTGTAATTCCTTATTACCATTATTTATTTTGTTGCTCAAATTGTCCTGTATTTGGCCATTAGAAGCTTTCAAGTTGATTTCTGTGCTCCTGTAACATGTCCCTATGAATTAATTAATAATTAATTTGGTGATATTGGGGGTAATTTGGTGATTTGAACTCAAGGCTTCACACTTGGAGGCAGGCACTCTACTGCTTGAGCCATGCCTCCAGTTTTTTTTGCTCTAGCTGATTTGGAGGTAGGGTCTTGTTTTTTCCCCAGGCTGACCTAGACTGCAATTCTTCTATTTTAAGCTTCCCAACATTGCTGGGATGACAGATATACACTACCACACTCAGGTTTTTTCTCCCCATTGATATGGGGTCTCAAAAACTTTTTTGCCTAGGCTGTTGTGGAACTGTGACCCTCCCCATCTCAGCCACCCAAAAAGCTAGGGTTATAGATGAGAACCTCTGGCACCTGGCTTCCCCATTATTTTAGGACCTTCTCCTTTGTGGAACTTCAGTGTGTTCCAGATTCATCTTTAGATAGTATTTCCTTTTAATGTGTGTTTTGAATTATTTTTTGCTTTTCTTAGGTATGAAGATACATGGGCTGCACTTCACAAAAGAGCCAAAGAATGTGCAAATGCAGGAGAGGTAAAGAAATGGCTAATTTTATACCTGTGTTGAAATTTCCTTTTTTAGTGTTAATTGCTAGCTTTTTTAAAATTAAATTTGTATTAAGATATTTTACAGGCTATCTGAAATTGAGTTTAGTAGTTATGAAACTCCCTGTGTAAAGTATACTTTTCATAATTTCTCAGGTAATGTAGCTTAGGTGTCCTAGAGAGTTCATAATTTTATTCAGGTGAATAATTGAGTACTTTTGGTATAATGCTTTGAATTGGAGCTTAATGACTGCAAAAATACAGATTTAAGGTGTAATCTCATTCTTTCCACTTTTTAAGAACAAAGCTTAGCTATGTTCAATCTACTTAAAATCATCAGTTTGCTTAGTGGAAAAATATAAATTTTTCCAGGTGTGGTGGTACATGCCTATAATCCTGACAATAGGGAGACAGAGATAGGACGATCAAGAGTTCAAGGCCATCCTGGGTCCATAGTAAGACCGTGTCTCAAAAAAATTTTTTTTTCAATGAGTTGAATGTCCACATCACTTAGAAGAACAAATTATTTTGAAGTACTAGGTATAGAGCCTGAAATGGCAAAAGTAACTAGTAGTTAAAATTATTTGGTACACACACTTAAAGCTATTATAGCCAAGATCTACATATTCTGTGTTGTCAATGTCAAATTTTTAGACATTTCTGTTATTCTGACTTTTAATTGATCTAGACTGGCTTTATTTACCATTTACCTAAATTGGTAAAGCTGTAATTGTTATATAGAACACAAGAATATTTTTGATGAAATTCCAACACTGACATTTCTCTTAGAAGTTACTGAAAAAGGGTATCGACTGGTTTCTGGCAGCAAGGCCAGCTAGGTACAGTTATATGCTGTCTGAGGAAGTGTCTCAGTCAACGAGGAACTGAATACATGGTGGTGATCCCACAAGATTATAATGAAGCCAAAGCATTCCTTTCACCTAGTGATGTCATAGTTGATGTGATATCATAGCCCAAGTCATTCCTCACAGGTTTATGATGATACTGATGTAAATAGATATGTGCTGCCGGTCATGTAAGGTATAGCACATTCAGTAATGTACAGGACTGGATAATGATGATAAATGACTGTTACTGCTTTATGCTTACTGTACTACTGTCATTATTTTAGAGTGTGCTCCTACTTACTTGTAAAAATAACTTCACTGTAAAGCAGTGTGCTGTGTGACACCCCAGCAACCTCATACATCTTGTATTTACAGTGTCTCTTGATTGCATTATTTTCTCTTTTGCTTGACTTAATCTCATGTTGTTTTGTTTATCATGGCTCCTAAGCATGAAAGTTCACCCCTAGTGTTGCTAGTAAGATCCAATTGAATGATTGACCTGGAAATGATAGTAAAAGTCATTAAAGACTACAAAGGTAGAAAATTAGGGATGTGGCATGTCCTGCTATACAGCTGTGATCATAAAGAACAAGAAAAAAATGACAGAGGCTGTTAAAGGATGAGTTTCATTGAATGCACTGAGACTAATAACAATTGGAGAAAGTCCTCTATCAGATACGGAGAAACTTCCAATGACCTGGATCAAAGGCCAGACACAGAAGTGTATCTCTCTCAGCACCATGATGATCATGGCCAAAGCAAAAGGTTTGATTTCAGTGTTGAAAGAAGAGGCTGGGCCCAACCACAATGCCAAGTTTACTGTTGCTCTGAGTGGTTTAAGCAATTCAAGCAGTGTTATTCACTATGTAATGTGAGAGTAAGCTGTGAGTCTGTGAGGGCTGATGAGCAGGTAGCTAAGGATTTTTAGAAGCTCTAGATAAGCTGACAGTGGAGGAAAATTACATGCCAGAGCAAATCTTCAGTATGGACAGAGCCTCTTTGTTCTGAAAATAGATCCTGAAAGGATCTTCACCCATAGGAAGCCAAGCCAGTGCCCACTTCATGACCTTTCGGAACAGGGTACATGTTTGGGGACAATGTTGCAGACTACAAATTTAAACCCTTTGTGATCTGGTCTGGTCATAACCCAGGGCCTTCAAGCATGACAATGATCCTTGCTAGTGTCTTACAGGAAAAGTGAGAACTCCTGAATGACCCAGATCCCTCTTCCAAGAAGGCCACCTGAATTGCTATGACAGCAAAATGGAGAAGTACTGTTTGGAGAATAGCAGGTCTTTCAAAATTTTGCTTACTTTTGGTAGTGCTCTGGTATATCTATCTTTTATTGATGGTCTTCATCACTATATTAAAGTAGTATTTCTTCTTACAAACACCACCTTTTGGACTCAATCAATGGACCACAGACTTAAAACAGCTTTTAATGCCTACTATGTGAAGAGACCTTCACCCTGACTATTGATACAACTGAAGAAAACGAAGACACTAATGCAGTTCTGGAAGGATTACAACATCTGTGACTTTGTCGAGAACCTTACTTGGGTTGGTTTCACAAAGGAGGGAATGAATAGCATCTGGAAAAGACAATCTAGAAGCTTGTCCATGATTTCAGAAGATCCTTCCAGGAGAAGGAGGTTGCAAAAATCAACAGAGCTTTGGGTGAGATGACAAACAACTTCCTAGTCCTGCATGCTCCATTCATAACAAATACCTTGTACATGGATCATTCTTCATCTTTTATGTCATATTTATTTTTTTGCTACACTTTTTCTATATTTCAGTATGTTTAGATGCACAAGCACTTCCCATTGTATTATAGTTCTCTACAGTATTCAGAATAGCAACATGCTGAACAGGTTTGTAGCCTAGCAGCAATAGGCTAAATCATAGCCTAGAATGTGTGGTGGGGTGTGTATACTATGAAGATGCCATTGAGGAGCTCCTGGTGATTCTAAGGAGCTATAAAAGGAAGGCATAGCTGAAGAAGAGGCAAGAGAAAAGGAAACTATGGGGGAAGAAAAAGTAGCTGCTAAGCTTTTGCAGACCTCAAGCTCTTAAGAAGTTTGAAATCAGCCAGTGCTGGTGGCTCATGCCTATAATCCTAGGTACTCAGGAGACAGATCAGGAGGATCGTGGTTCGAAGCCAGCCGGGCAAATAGTTTGCAAGATCCTATCTTGAAAAACCCTTCACAAAAACAGGGCTAGTGGAGTATCTCAAGGTGAAGGCCCTAAGTTCAAGCCCCAGTACCCCCCCCACACACAAAAGTTTAAAATCATGGATCCCAACACCAAAAGGTATCTCAAGGTGAAGGCCCTAAATTCAAGCCCCAGTAACACACACACACACACACACACACACACACGTTTGAAATCATGGATCCCAACACCAAAAGGTTTTCATTAATGGACAGCAAGTACCTGGCACATTATCAGTTTATAAGCACATCCACGATGAAAAGAAACAAACCAAGAAAACCACTATGGACATATTTCTGAAAAGAGACCAATACTTCTCAAGAAGAGCCTCAGGCAGGTCCTCAGGAGGGATTTAGAAGAAGGCAACATTGTCAGTCGGAAGTGAAGCTCCATGGGAGTTACTGCTCCTGAAGACCTTCCAGGAGACAGGAGTTAGAGGTGTAAGACAGGGATATTGATCGTGACCCCGCACAGGCCAAAGCTAATTTGTGTGTCTTCAATTTTAATAAAAAAAGCTTAAAAAGTAGGAAAAACTTAGGGGCTGCTGGAATGACTTAAGTGGTAGAGGGCCTGACTAGTAAGCATAAGACTCTGAATTTAACTCCCAGTACTGCTAGAAACAATAAGTAAAAAAAATTAAAAGATTAAAAATAAGGGCTGAGAGTGTGGCTCAAGTGGTAGGACTTACCTAGCAAACACAAGACCCTGAGTTCAAACCCCAGAAACACAAAAAAAAAAAAAAAAAAAAAGCCAGGCATAGTGGTATATGTTTGTGGTCCCAGCTGCTTGGGAGGTGGAAGTAGGAGGGGCATAGTTCAAGGCCAGCATGGGAAAATTTAATGTGAGACTCTATCTGAAAAACAAACTGAAAGCAAAAGGACTGGAGGCATGGGTCAAGAATGAGGCCCCAAGTTTAATTACCAGTATAGCAAATGAAAAAAGCTTACAAAATAATGATATGAAGAAAGAAAATATTTTTTGTACAGCTATACAGTGTTTGTGTTCTAAGCAGAGTGTTACTGCAAAAGTCAAAAGTTTAAAAAATTTAAGTTTACAAAGAAAAATTGTTATAGTAATCTAAGTTTATCATTGAAAGATAAATAGTATATATAAATTTAACCTATATAAATGTAATCTAGGTGTACAGTGTTGTAAAGTCTCTAGTAGTAGACAGTAAAGTCCTGGGCCTTCACATTCATTGTCCACTCACCCAGAGCAACATCCAGTCCTGCAAGCTCCATTTGTGGTAATGCCCTAGATGGGTGTACCATTTTTAATCTTTTATACCATAACTTTTCTATGTTTAGATATACAACTACTTTCCATTGTGTTATGGTTCCCTACAGTACTCAGTAACATGGTATAAGCTTTGTAGCCTAGCCTGGTGCCATGGCTAAAATAGGTAGAGCACTTGCCTAGCAAGCATGAGGCCCTGAGTTCAAATTCCAGTACTGCCAAAAAAAAAGAGGATTATGAAAAGCAAAACTAGGTTCCTTTCTGAATTTGTTACGATGCTCTTGGCCTCACATGAGCGTGGAGTTCTAAGTTATATTTCCTGCATTAGCAAGGAACCCCTAAGTTAAAAAATGAAAGAGTCGCACATGATATCCAACAAATCCCTTATGGATGAAACTTCTAATGGGCCCCACAGATTAATTTAGGCCCCGTTTCCCAAATACTAACAAACACAAAAAATAAACCCTTCAATGTTTGAGTCACCAGAACAAAAGATGACCTCCATCGTTTTCTAGAAATATAATACCAAACTTTAAAAATCAAAATTTATTTTAAAACCCTTGTAATGTGTCATTGAGACATATTTAAGTATTTAAATGTGTATCTTTATTACAAGTTTTTATTTTGTCAGACTTGCTCATTTGTCTTCAGCAGATTGTAATGGTTAAACAGCATCAACATCACAGGCCAAGTATACTTATGGAAAATTCAATCTTGTTTAACAAATTATTTTATACTCATCTACTTTAAAGCAAATTCTAACTATGTAGTGTTAATAGTTCAGAGCAATATCTTATAAAGCAGCTGGAGTCAATGATAAGTTTGTTGTCTAAGCTTTTTCTAAACAATTTCTTTGATCACCTCTCTCCCCACTCCCTCCCCTTTAGCAATCTACAAATGAACAGTTAATAGTGATTTAGAGGTTAGACTTCCAGGGAAGTTTTCTGAAGTTAGACTTCTAGAATTTTGGTTCTCATTCCTCTTAATTGTGAAATATTTGTCTGCCTTCAAATTGAACTTGTAAAATTCATGGTTTTGTTTAATAGTTTGACATGTAAGCCAGTGAATCACACTGTTTCACTTGTATGTTCAGGTTAGATTTCCTCTGACTGGAGTGGAAAGTGAGCCAAAAAGGATGTTGAAAATCCTCATTTCTCATCTTGGCTATACTAATATATTTTGACCTTGGATAAGCAACTTAGTCTCTCTCTTACTACTTTGTCTATAAAGTGATATCAAAATAATTTATTCTGCTTACCAAATTCATTCAGAAGTCAAATGAAATTGATGTATTCCCCTTCACTCCAAACTCTGAATGGGGTAGTTTTATATTGTATTAATCCATAGTTTTTGGGTTTTTTTTTTTTTTTTGGTCTTTGTTACAAACTACCTGAGATAATCAACTTACAAGGAGGTTGGATTTATTTTGACTCATGGTTTCAGAAGTTTCAGTCCATGGTTGCTTGGCCCTTTTTTGCCTTTGGGCCTGTAGTGAGGCATTATATCATGGCTTGAACTCAGTGATTTTTGCATATAAAATTCAAACGCAGTTTCCTCCATTATATTGTAGATTTTGTAACCTTTATGTTAAGTACATAAAATATAGTAGTTTTCATAATTCTAGCTTATTTTTGGTCATGTTCTCAAGAGATAACCTCTCCTTGCTCTTTCCGCATCTTATTCCAGGTTCTTTCTCTCTTATGTGTTAAGACCAAGACAAAATTGTCTAGGAGAAACTAATATCCTTGATTTTTTTTTCTTTTTTGCTGTTTTTAGGAAAAGAAGTTAGAATTAGGTCTGGAGGTATGACTCAAGTATTAGAGTGCCTGCCCGGCAAGCCCAGAACCCTGATTTCAAACCCCAGTATGAAAAAAAAAGTTAGAATTATCTTAGTCTTTCAGCCCTGTATTCACATCTCAGTTCCTTCTTTGTGAACTTAAATTCTTGTCATCTTTTTCTGGAACTGACCAGTTGCTTCAATAATTCCTTAATATACAGTACCCTTTTGTTTATTTTATGTGAGAGTTGTTCCTTTCTAAATGCAAATTGATCATTGTACATTTACAATGCATTACAAACTTTTCTGTTACAAGAATTCCTTTGTGAAGCAAGTAAGTACCTGTTAATTATGTTTTAGATTTGTTTTTCTTTTTGATTGTTAATTGTAGTTTTTTTATCTTAATTTTTTATAGGTTTGGATTTTCAAATAAACAGTTTCCTTTAAAACAAGATATACTTAGAAGTAATTTCTGAGGTCATTTTTTTAACTTACTCTCCTTTGGGTTAAGATGCACTGATACAAGCAGGAATTTGAGGTTTTCTATACTGAATATTAAGCCAGTTCTTTTCTAAAAAAGAAAACAATTTCAGTCTTCTGCAGCATGTACTATCATTTGTACTCAGTAGAGGAGTGCATTGGCTAAATATCATCATGCTAGCTGTGATTTCTTTGTGTCTAAGATTTGGTTTCACTTTGCCCTCCTGCCCTTTGTTGCAGCTGGTGGACAGTGAGGTGGTCATGCTCTCTGCCCACTGGGAGAAAAAGAAGACCAGCTTAACTGAGCTGCAGGAACAGCTCCAGCAGCTTCCAGGTTTGATAGCAGACTTAGAATCCATGGTGGCTAACCTGGGTAAGTTAGATGCTTATAGCTATACATCACTTTTAGGAATGAAAACATCTTCAACAATACTTGGTGTAATTTCAGAGCTTTCTAAGAATTCATTAAATTCTTAGGGGATAGTGTATTCTAGTTAATTTCAGACTGATTAAAAATAGCTAGAAAATTATTTAAAGTGCAGAAATGAGGGCTGGAGGAGTAGCTCAAGTGGTGGAGTACCTTCCTAGCAAGCTTGAGGCCCTGAATTCAAACCCCAGTATGGCCAAAAAAATCAAGTGTAGAAATGATTTTTAAAATGTACTGAAACAGGATTTTTAGGGGGCCAAAGAGCCCTGGCCCTGGAGGTCCCAAATGGATTAGGTTTGGGCACCAGTCCCTATGTGCCAGTTAAAGGGACGAGCACTAGTGAATGGTGGAGAAAGGAGACATAATCCCACATGGCTGTGTTGGGAAGACAAAAGAGGTTCTCCAAGATTATCTTTGAGTCTGATAGAAACTTTGAGATTTTATAGAAAGGGAATCAAAGGAGGGCTTTAATGTGTACATGACTGGCAGAGCCTGTAATCTTGGTCAGGCAAATGGTCTGGTCCAGTTCTTGGAAGTTATCACCTGGAGGGAGTAACCTGGTTCCTGTTTGAGAGGATTACTTGGACTCTGGGTAATTGTCCTCACTGGGAGGGTGGCAGCTCTAGGTGGTTCCCATTCTTTGTTATAAAGATGTTATCCATCAGTCCTGTTTTTCCTGGAATTGCAAGGTGACTAGGAAGGCAGAAGGGCTCAAAAAAAATGTGGCAGAAGGACAAAATGGAGTTAACTAGGCCAGTCCCCTAATGTTTTCTGACTCAGTTCAGCTCAGGAAACATAATTTTTATTTTATTGATTCTTAAAGTGACTCAGGACTGTGTTTGTGACCTTAAGTCTGTTTGTTTAAAAAGCGTAAGTATAGAAAATAATTAGGATTAGGGTAACTGTCCTGACTAAGGATATGCTCCAAAAATTGGCACTTTTAAATTTTAGGTGTGCTAGAGCTTCAGTCTTACAGGATGTTTTTTTCTCTTCAAACTGATAGGAGATCGAACAACTCCAGTTAGATGAAGGCACCTGTTTAGCTGCATTTAAACTTTGTGGAAGTTTACTTTTGTTTTCATTTGGATGTTTGAAGTGACCAGTCCACATTTTGGTGTTTTGTTTCTATTTCCTTCAGTCCTTTTCTGCCAATAAAACCAACCTCCTCTGTTCAGCCTATCAGAACACTTACTATGTTTTATGGAATGAATACTGTCCAATTTTAGAGTCAAAAATAAAGCCAACTGAGATCTAATTGTTGAGGTTTTGCCCCTTGGCAATTAGTGTCCTCCTTTCTAAAATCTAGATGGTTGGTTTTTATTTATTATTTTTTAGTATTTAAAAGACATACTACCTTTGAGATTTAATTTATAAATTATTAAATTTATTTAATTTATTTCCTGATATTTTTACTTGATAGTGAATAACTAACTGTGGAGGGTAGCAACTAGGAATTCCAGAAGCTTAGTATTTGTTGACCTAGAGTATACTCATAGATGCTTTGAAATTTTGAGGCTTTTAGCTAAGCAATTTAAGTGTCCTGGAACTAGTGCTAGTATTATAATATGAAAACATTATGAAGTCAGATTTTGTGGGATAAGTTTTAATTACATATTTATGTCATTAATGTACTTTATGAGTTCATTTTATTGAGTTTAGGCATCATTTTTAGATATAAGAAGCATTTAATATGCTAAATGTTTATTCATATACAATTTTTTGGTAGCCTCAAAATATCTTCTTTTATCACTTAAATACCTTGACATGAAATTACAAGGCTTAACTAGTCAAGCAGTAACAAAAAATAAAAGTGATGTAGTAACTGACCTTAACTTTGAAATTTTTATCCTCTCCTTGTCAGATCTAATACCATATCCAGTCAGTCTCTCCATTTTTTCAGGCTACTTAACCTTTTCTGGTCTTGCCTTGCTCTCTGGAGGGTCTGCTTTTATTAAAAAGTAAAGGATTTAATTTAGACTTTTGATGATGCTTTTAGTTATGCTGTCCTGTGGCTTAATAAATAGGAGTCCTAGTTACCTGACCCTGAGGGATTGTTAAGTAATGGCTACTCTATTCATATTGATTTTTTATGGGATGTGATCCATCTAGCTTACAAAAGCATATTTAATTGATAGTTACTGGTAAGCCCTGTCATTGAAAAAAATAACATAAAGGTATGCTTGAAAGTGAAAAGTAATGAATATGAATGGTCGCATCTGAGATTGTTTCTCAGTTCTAGGACTTTCTAACTGAGACTTGCGTAAGTTTCTTAACTGCTCCAAGCTTTAGTTTCCTTGTCTGCAAAATAAGGACCAAAGTACAAGCCCTTTGTGTCGTGGGCTCTGCACCACAGATTCAGTCAACTGCAGTTAGGAAATAGTCATTAAAAAAATACATATATATTAAATGTGTAGACTTTTTTCTTGTCATTATTCCCTAAATAATACAGTATAACAATAATTTACATAACATTTTGTACATTACCTATTTTAAATGTAGAGATGATATAAAATGTATGGGAAGATGGATGTAAGTTATGTGCAATACTGCATATACCATTATATCACAGACTACTTAAGTGTCCAGGAGTTTTGATACCATGGGGATTCTGGAACCAAACCCCTAAGGATGCTGAAGGATAACTGAACCTACCTCATAGGGTAGTTGGAGGATTAAATGAAATGACAAATGTAAAGCATTTAGCACAGTGTCTGGTATGAGGTATCTGCTGTGGGCCAGGTGCTACTTAAGGCTTTGGGAATACAGTAGTGAACAAGGCTGGATACCTGCCATTAGGATGCTAACATTCTAATGAGAGTCTCTCCAGCCTTTGCAAATTTACACAGTCATTTTTCTGTGACAAGCTTTTGGATGGATGCTATATAATTTAACTTGTGCTATAAAACAGTTTTGAATACAGAACTGTAGCATTAAATGTACTGAGATGAACAATGTAGAAATGTGTGTTAAAAGATAGTATATAAAGATGAAATGAAATATTTTTATCCAGATTGTATATACATTATTATTCTGTGAAATAATCACTGTGTATGTTTTATCATAGAACTGAGAACATTCTGGAACATGTATTTATTGAATTCTCTTGAATTTCCACTAGAGGGTAGTCATTCTATTCTTTAATTGAAGCTTAACCCACTAAGGGCTTGTCGTTGATTTTTTCTGTTACTTAAATTTTGTAGAACCTATTTTAGAAGATTGTTCCATCATCTAGAATAGAAATTCTGCTATTCTAAGATAACACAGTGATGTCAGAGAATGGCAGCTACATACTGAGTTTATCCTTCATTTCTTTCGACCTAGCCTGATAGATTTTTGTGATGCTTCCTTCTGTACAGAATTTGAGAGGACATCTAGAGGGACACTGTCACAGCTGTTAATGTTTGACTAACTAGAGTATCTTATTGTCCAGGTTACTCTCTGAGATCAGACCTGTCAATAGTGCCAACTCTCTTAGACACTTTGGTCTATACATGGATCTCATTTGTTCCATAGTGGCTTTTGCAAGTTAATGCAACTCTTAAACTTTACTTACTACCATACCGTTATTACCTTATTATCTTAGTACATAAAAGTATAATATGCATTTGAATAATCTTCCCATCTTTAGTAGCTGGCCTTTGTGACCCATGGGTTTATAGCCAAAGAAGATTTCTTTGTTCTGTGAGTGTAATTGTTGTGTTAGGAAAAAACTCATTGAGTGTGAAATAATTTTAGTGTGCTGCTTCACTCTTTATGTATCAGTGGCTATACTGTAGATAATATGTATTTGAAACAAATGGCACAAAAAATTCCAAGTTGAATTGCTCTTCCTCTGGGACAATCTTCTCATAAAGATTTGTGATGCTCTTTCCTGCACAGCTGTCAGGCATTCCCAAATGGTTTTTCACAGTAAAATTCCACCTATCTTTTCCATGGATCACTAAATGAGACGTATGCTGTTACGATAGTGAACAAAATAGTGAGGCTTGAGCTCTTTGTAAAGGTGTATTTGTGCCTATGGAGGCCTGCTGGTGTTTTATGTACATGCATTCTGACTTGCTTACCAATTTACACATAGATGCAACTTGTTTTGTAATAGGAAATGAGCAAGTTGTTAGGGAAATTAAATTTATGACAATTTAAATTCAATAGAACCTACTCAAAACATATATCATGTTTATGCTTATAATAAATTAGGTTTTTTAAAAAAGCTTTTAATATAAAAAGGATGGAAGCTTATTTTTAATATAATTCTTTTATATTTTATTACTTATTTCAAGCTTGTTAAGAGTTAAAACGGAAAATCCCCATTGCTTCTTCTACTTTAGCTCATTGATGAAGTGGCCTGACTTGACACTCTGCTAATAAAGGACCATCATGTTGTTTAATGTTTTCTAAGTTCTCTGTTCATGTTTGATTTGTTCTTTTACAAAATTTAGTATTAACTCTTAATCTTTAAATTAGATGAACATGAATCATAGGTTTTTCTTGATTATTTTACATTGTAGAGTAATGAAATCACTCTTATCACCCAGAAACCATTGTTTATTGAATTCAACAGACTAGATATTAGGGGGTACAAAGATGCAAGGATATAGTCTTCACTCTTAAGATCCTTACTTATTCCCAAGAGAGATAAGAGGACACAAATGGTTGTATGATGTCAGAATTTGAGTCCTTTGTGAGGCCCAAAGGTCTGTAGAGGCTCAGAGGAGTAAGCACAACTGTGGGTAGAAGGCAGGGCAAGCATGGGCTAGGGCCTGATGAGACAAATGGGGGCTTTTCAGCAGAGAGAAGATCAGGTAAGGTTGCAGAGTGCTTAGGGCTCTTCTCAGAATGGCATGTGGTCCTGTTTTGCAGTAAGGTAGAATATGTGAAGGATAGTGGTGGTAAGATAATAGCAGTAGATTGTACCCAGAGGGTCCCTGAAAGCTAAGTTAAGGAGTTTAACTTCTGAACTCTCAGGAGCCTTTGAAGTTTGGGGTTTTTTGGTTTGTGTGTTTGTTTGTTTGTTTTTGCAGTGCTGGGGAATCGAACCCAAGGCCTTGCACATGCCAGACAAGCACTTTACCACTGAACTACATCCCTAGCTCAATGAATTTTTATTTTTTTTCTTGGTGGTATTGGGGTTTTAACTCCGGGCTTTGTGCTTAGAAGGCAGTTGCTGTACCATTTGAGCCTCCTTTGAGGCTTTTGAAAGGGAAGAACATAAAGATGGCTTTAGTGGTAGCAGTAAAGTAACCTCTGACTATACCAGGTATCCTCAGTCTACATTTTGATTATTCAGCGCAAGAGCATGCCACTACTGGCCTATTTAGAAGGTTGTCACTTTCTTTTTTATTACATGTTCCAAGTTGGTATTAAACTGCTCACATGTTTTCATCTGGCCCCATGTTATTAACAGCAAGTACAATTTGTACCTAGAACAGAATTCTATCCATGAGACATTAATCAGCCTGCCTAGGGATCAACTTCATTTAAGTTCCTGGCCTTGTTAGCTCTGTAGTTGGCCAAAAGAGCTATAATCTAAGTGGAAATTGCCATCTGTCAAACAAAAATGAAAAAGGTAAAAAGAACATACAATTTTTCAATATAAAAATTACTGACTATTATCATTCTTTAAAAATCATTTTAAATTTAATTCCCCTTATGAATATGGGATCTTAAATCTAAGAATATAACCTGGGGTATAGTTTATAGGCATATGAGTTTATCAGAAGAAAAGGAAAATGTTATTAATATTTTGACCTCTTAGATCCATAGAACTTGTTTATATCATAATTGGTATTGGTCAACAAAGTTAGCTTTAAATGACTTTTATAAAAGCTAGGTAATTTTTATAAAAAGTTTTTCTATGTATTTTTATATTCATTTAATTAATCACTATCAAGTTGTTAGTTTAGGTACTTTGGTTCATCTAATCCTTTTGACAGTTTTGCAAGATGTATGTTTTTAACCTTTTCATAGATTAGTTACTGTGTGAGGGGCAGAGCTGAGTTCTAAGCTGTGCTTCTGAGTCCTGCTCTGAACCAATCTTTCATGTGTTAAAGGTGAATGTCTGACACAAAAGGAACCAAGTTGGTTCAATGGCTTCTATATGCTAGTTCTTATCTCTAATCAAAGTTCAGTCCCTTTTTAAATAATCCTTTTAGTTATGATAGTCTTTTGTATGCTTTAAGACCCTGTTAAACTAGTTACAACAGAATAGCTGAATATCACTTCTTCAGTGCTATAGTGCTAACTCCCAGGCTGAGTCTCCTAGCCTCTCATTTTTCCATGTAATAAAGTAGAAAACAATGTAAATGATAATATAATATAATTTTGCCTTTTTGTCTCACATAGACTCCTAATCTGTCATTTGTAACATTCTTAACTGTGGGGAGCAGATTATGAGATTCCTATGAGAATTTGACATAAACACAGCTATGCCAAATAATCTGTAGGCTGAGTTGGCACAGCCCCAGCCACAGAAGGGGATGAGGACAAAATGCAGCCTAGCTGCTTTTCCTAAGATGTTTATGTTCAGAGAGTAGTGATTGCAGGTTCCTCCTGTTCCCAATAACTACAATGCCATGCACCCCCCAAGAACTGTTGCCCCACTTCCTTATTTGCCACTGTATATAATAAACTTGCTGTAGGTGTATGAGGCTGTCGTGTGTCTCCGTCTGAGCGCCCAGTCCACCTGACCCCAGCTTTCTGCATGTTTGTCATCTGTCGTTTGTCCTTTCTTAATCTCCTGTTGCTCCCAGTTAGGTTTCTAGGATGAGATTGCACTGGTCATGAGAGGTGGCACCCCAACAGGGACCTAACTACCTGGGGAACTCAAAGCCTGAGATGAGGAGACACTCTCTGAGAAACATGCAAGTAATAGAGAAAAGAAATAGGAAAATAATTAAGGTGAGGGAAAGAGTGAATTAAATACAGTCAGGTGTAAAAACATGGGACAGTATGAGTCTGAGGACCGAGACTTTAAGAGTTATGCTGATGCAGTTTTTAGATTTTGTACAGGAACTCCAAGCCTGAGATGAGGAGACATTCTCCAAGAAGCATGTGCATAAATAGAAAAGTAAGAATAGAGAAGAAGTAAGGTAATGGAAAAGAATAGGAAAGAAGTAAGGTCATAGAAAAATGAAGTAAGGTAATAGATCTATGTTACTTTCAGGTTGTAGTCTATGATTAGAAACTGTTGGGAGCCTACTCCCTCACATAAACAAAGATTTTCCTCCTTTGTAGCCGAGCTGGGATGAGGGACTCACCCCTTATGACCAGTCGTACAGGAGTGTGAGAGGCAGTAACAAGATGCTGTGGGCAGTGGAGCTGCTGAACCGTCAGCCCCACCTTAAAATTCAGTCCAAAGATGATTCTGATTCTGATTCAGTGTCAGATGAGGAGAGTTAGGAGGATGCTTTGGCCCATCAAGTACTGGGAACCATGCATTTGGGGTTACCTCCACAGGCCAAGAGACTTCCTACTTTTGTAATGAGTCCCCTACAGGCTGCCTTACAGGCAGCTTGTAGTCAAGGAGTTTTACCCTGTGCTTGAGAGACTGGACCCTAACAACTCTGACATGCAACAGAGGTTTCAAGACAGCTCCTTGGATTGGGGGACAGACTTCATGCATTTAAGAAATAAAAAAGGGGGAGATCTGGGGAGCAGATTATGAGAATTTGACATAAGCACAGGTATGTCAAATAATCTGCAGGTTGAGTTGGCACAGCTCCAGCCACAGAAGGGGGTGAGGGCAAAATGTGAATGTTTCTGAATTTAACAGATCTTTGGTTGAAGATTCAAAACAGAAACAAGTTGCAATATAATAAACCTAGAATGGCAAGTTGAAATTTGAGTTTGCCTCTAATGTAGATGCTCTGGAAGCTACTTTAGAAAGTCCTATGAAGCCAGGTGTGGTGGTATCCATTTATAATCTCAGTTACTTGGGAGGTGGAGGTAGAAGAATTTCAAGTTCAGGTCAGCCCCAGAAAAGTTAGCAATACCATATTTCAAAAAATTGGAGACATACTTATTGGTAAAATGCATGTCTAGCATGCATGAGACCCTAGGTTCAATCCCCAGTACCAAAAAAAAAAGTCCAGTGAAAATCTAGTAGATAAAATTTTGTTGCCCAGTAATGATCTTGATGTAAAGAAGATCAAATGACTCTAAATAGATCAGAATATTGATAACATTTTCATTTTTTCCTGACAAAGACATATACCTACAAATTATACCCTGGGCTGTATTCCAAGATTTAAGATCCCCTAATGGTGTGGGGGTCACTCTCACATCCCAACTTGGAAATCCTCCCTTGCTGAGCTTTCCCTCATGTTGCCACTCCTCTGAGCTCCCTGGTGGCCAGCTGGCTCAGCTGTGCTGCCACTGGAATGTGAGCTTCTTGAGCACAGGCCTGGCTTGTCATCGTTATGTTCCAGTGACTGGTGTATGCCAGTGGATGTTCAGTAAACTGTTCTGAACCTGTTCTCAAATCTTTGACCTCTAAAGCTTTTCTGTTGTATGAAAAAAAAAACAAGCAATCCTTGCCCTTATAACTGTAAAGTTGATTTATTTAGCATCCTATCAACTGGCAGTCACTATAGTATAAGAGGGACTCAGTTTGAGTCCCTTCTGCCCTTCCCTAGCTCTGTGACTTTGGGCAAGGTTCTGTATTAGTTTTTCCAGGCTTTGGTCTTTTTTTTTTTTTTTTTTTTTTTTTTTTTTTGTGGTACTAGGGATTGAACCCAGGCCTTATACATGCTAGGCAAACACTTAACCATTGAGCTATATCCCCATACCTCAGGCTTTGGTCTTAAATCTCTTAAGTGAAAGATTTGACCAGATGTTCACTGCGTTCCAGTAAAACTGCCAAACTTTGTGGTTTGGAGGCAGAGTAGCTTGTGAAAAACCAGTCATTTGACAAGAAGAGCTAAGACTCCTCCTCACCTAACCACTGACTAGCTTACTAACCTGGGCTTACCAAGTATTTGTACATATTTTGTGCCTTGGAGATTTATAACTGTGATGTGCCAGAGGCAAAACAAATGCTAACATAACTTGGAATTGTAAATGTTAAATTATGTTGGTATAATTTGTATTAATGTTTTGCTTTTTCTCATTAAGTAAAAACTGCTTATTCACCGGCGGTATATGGAATCATTAGAAGATAACATTAGATTAATGAAGATACTCTGCTTCTTCATTCTGTTTAATAAAATATTTTAGAAAGTTATATCTTGAGAATGTTTGAATAATGCTGAAAAAGGATAATTTGAAATATGTTTTAATGTTGGTCAATGTGTTTAATTTTGTCTCAAAGTTTAATAAGGGATATAAAGCAAATGTAATATAATCTTGAAAATTTAAAATTTTATGTTTTTGGCTCTTTTTCTTTTCTTTATGGTCAAGAATTCTGATTTTTTTATGTTTCTATTATGTTATATACTTTCAGCTCATTTAGAGGCTAGTTTCGAGGAGATCGAAAACCACCTGCTCTATCTGGAGGACTTGTGTGGACAATGTGAGCTAGAAAGGCACAGGCATGCCCAGTCCCAGCACCTGGAGAATTACAAGAAGAGTAAGAGGTGAGTTTGAAAAATTAGCTGCACTATTCATTTCAAATCTCAAAGTTATTCTCGCTGTTCTACGTGCTATTTTTTAAAAAATACATTTCAACTGGTGAAAGACAAAGGCTTCAACATGTACAGCTCATTAATAAGCTTTCCAAAATATATGTGTGTGTGTGTGTGTGTGTGTGTGTGTGTGTTAAATCACTATCTATTTGTTGTCATTTTATGGTGATGAGTTGTGAAAAGCTAAAGGTAGAGTAAAACATGCACTCCCAGTATGGAGTGGAAGGGAGTAGAGCAAAGTGCAGTTTCCAACAAAGTAGGACCCCTGGCCTACTTTTCTCCAATGGCAAGTGACTGAGCTGCTTTTTCCTTCTTCTCTCCTCCTCCTTGAATAGTAGAGTCAGGAACCCAGGCTGTGGAGAGGGGCTGGATAGACCTAAATCTCAGCTCTTGTTGAGACCTCTTGTTGAGATCTACTAGCTGTTGGACCTTAGGGGAGTTAATCTCTCTCAGTCTCAGTGCCCTGGTTTATAAGGGGAATGAATAATAATGCATCAGTCTCATAGAGTTGTGAGTGTGGGTGATGTAATTCAATTAGTGCTCTGTAGGTATTGTAATAATGATTATTATCATCAGGTCAACCTAAACTAGAAAAGGAAGAAAAATTGTAGTGTAACAGCTATATTAGCTGGGGCATCCCAGCTCCATAGCAGCCGTCTTGGGCAGGGCTGGAAGGTGCAGGGTGAGGTTCTCAAGCCCATGGGGTGAGTCCACCCATAGTGGTAGTAAGAGAGCATGAGACTTGCTGTTATCTATGCTGGCACAGCAGGATGGAACTGAAGCTTCAGTGGCGGTTGTTAGAGGGGAGAAAACAGAAGTCATAGGATTGAAGTCTGGCTGAGGCTGAAAAATAGATTTGGTGGAAGATGATGATAGGTTGGACAGAGCACACTATTGGTCTTAAGATTGTCTATAAATTGGTGGAGTGTCTCAAGTGGTAGTGTGCCTGCTTAGCAAGTGTAAGGCCCTGAGTTCAACCCCCTTGTTCTGGATCTAGGGTGTGGCAGTAGGAGGATTGGGTTGCTGATGTGAACAAGAGGTATTGGTCACTAACATATAAGAGATTAAGAAGAAAGCTTAATGCATGGGAATGGTAGATAATCACATTGCTGTTAAAAGTTTTCTAGAAGGAAGCCAAGGGATGGGGTAGAGTTGAAAACAGTGTTTCAGACCTGAAGTTCTCCACCAGGTCCATGTATCATTAGGGAGTGTGCTTTAAATGTTAGTGAACCATAAGAATTACCTGGGAAGAGAGTTTAAAATGCATAACTCTGAGAAATTTTAAAATATTGATAGCAGAAAGTAACTTAGTTTTCTGATCCACAAAGGAAGAGTTTCCTGAAAATAAACCTTCCTTTTCAATAAAATGCTGTGCAAACTAATGATTTTCCTTTTCTTCTTAAGACTATGATTGGATATATGATGAATGTATGTGTATGGTGTGCTTTAAAGAAAAAGAAAAAACACTCTCAGTATACCTTATAGCTTTCTATAAAATCTAGTCTAGACAACTGGATAGGGTAACAAGGTGAGACAATGAAAGATAATTTCTTATGCACCTCCAGTGCTAGTTACCTCTGCAGTGGGTTCCTGTATACCTTTTCCTTCAGCATTATCAGAACCTCAGGTGGTTAGGGCAGCAGTCATTGGAACTGAATAAAAGGTTGAGTTGCATGAAATCATCTCACTGTTTAGTGGCCAGAATCAGAGCCAGGGTCTAAAAGTCCACTCCCAACTTGTCGTCATGTTTTGACTTTTGAATTGCAATAAATGGAATCAGTACCAGATGTTGATATTAGTGCATTTATAGTTGAGAGTGGATATATGATATTTTATCCTATGTTTGGGCATTCCCAGAAGAGAAAATAGAACCCTGCCTTTACAAAGCAGGAGTGTAAACCATGCACAACAGTGTCTGTGGTTTACTGTGGCTGTGAGTCTCATGGTAGCCAAGGGAAATGTAGCTATAGGAAACTCTTTTGGACAATTCTAAGAGCTCTTGTTTACTTTGAGAAACACTTGGACAGATGGTTTAACCCATATGTTTGTGTATTGAGTAAGAACAACCTTCTCTTGCTGGTTATCTGATGAAAGTGACATGTAAGGAACTGTGTGTTTGTAAGGGAAAAGTACCTATAAACTGCTTTTAAATAACTCTCCTGTATTTAAGATGTTACTGTTACTGATACCTTTTATGGACACAATCAGACACTGGCTTGATAAATGGTAGAACACTGTTGTGGATAGAATACAACTTTAGGCAGAAGACAGCTACTGATACCAGTAGTTCATGTGTTGGGTAGCTGAGGATATGAGTGTACACCATATGAGTCTAACTCATAAATCTCTTACAGACACTTTTGTTACCACAGAACATATATTTTTCATAAAGTAGAGTGAGTTAATACTTCATATATAAGTCAAAATAAAGAACTTAGACCAATTCACATTGTTTTCTTTAAGTAGTTAGAAAAATGGCTTGGTTATTTGGGAGTCAACTTACATTCTTAGTCATGGGACATGGAAGAACACAGACAAAAGAAAGTATTAAAATTATAGTTTCAAGTAATAAACTAGACTTTGAAGAAAACAAAATGGGATCATGTTGGGAAGGTAGGAGAAGACTTCTTTAGGTAGAGTGAGCTGGAGACCGCTTCTAAAAAGATGCACAGGATCTGAGACCTGAATAAAAAGCAGCCATATGAGGATCTAGGATTATACAGATCCAGGCAGAAAGAATAATAGGTGAATAATAGGTAGGATCAGGAGAATGACAAAGCAGAACTAAAAAGAAGTATAGTATCTCAGCCTTACAAATTTTAAATTTCCTGTTACTACCATGTTGAAATTCTCACAGTAGACTATTTGGAATATTCTAAGTATAATAGTTTTGCTTAAGATTGTCTATAGCCAGGTGTGGTGGTACATACTTACAATCCCAGTACTCAGGAGCTGAAGGCAGGAAGATGGCAAGTTTGAGGCAAGCCAGGGATACATAGTGAGACCTTGTCTCAAAAAATCAAAACAAACAAAAACATCATACATACATGTGTGATTTAAAATAGTTCTATTTCCAAACTTACGAATCACTTACGTTTTTCACTTCAGTACAAAGCATACCATCAGACTTTCTCCAAAAATGGCTACCTCTTGAAGAACAAGAGTAATTTTAGAAATTCTAATTGGTTATAAATCACTCATGATTTTAACACAGTCTTCTGTTTGTCTATGGCCACATCTAACTCCACAGACATTTTTCACTGATGTATTTAGACTCTGAAATTTGGTTGTTTCTTAGGCCCTCTCTCATGCGAGTGGTGGGCTGTGTCTGTTGAAGAGGATCGGTACTCCTGAATGTTTTGAGAGGGTCTTCATTCCTTTTGCCATATGGTTATAGATTCAATATGGCTAATAGTAGAGGACCATGCCCTTCTTTTAGTTTGTGTTTGTTTGATTCTTGGTAACATGTAGACTAACTTTAGAAAAAAGTATGAGACACATCTGAGACAATATAGCATATCTGTGGTAGTGTTACGGGAATCTCAAACAGAGATACGGGACACTGAAGCAATTCAGCCGGAAGCAACGCTTTAATGTGCCAGCACAGACTCAGCAGACTCATTCAAAGGCTGATCCCTGAGAACAAAGGGTTCTCACATTATATACCCTTGCAAGCAAGTTACAGAAGCAAAAAAAGCAAGGTCTAATCCATATATGGTCACATGCAGTTGTATAGGCTACTTCACCCTAGTGCTGTGTGACTTTCTACCCCCAGTGCTGTATGACTCTCTTCACGTTTAGTTTAAGTTTTATCTCTCTGCTATGCCATCCCTTCTCCTGTGCTACTTTATCAGAACACAAGCTTATCCGTTTCTTTTGTGGTCTTCCTCCCTGCTACAGTAGTATTTGACCAGTATATGTTCTAGAGGATAACCTGCTGAACTGAGATTCCAGAAATGACTGTCCAAACTAACCTGGTTGGATGGCATGACCAAAGGTCTAACTGGCACTTCCATCTGAGTAGGTTGTAGGCATGGAGATGTGGCAAGAATGTGACACACAGGCCTGCCTTTGCTCAGAGTGGAATAGAAGAAATTATGGGCATTACTCAGAGTGAAGATGGCTCTGGAACCAAAACAGAAGGTCCAAAGCACTTCACCCAAAGAAGGCAGAAAGGTTATGGAGGTTCTGCAGCAGAGTCTGTTTGGGTGCTCAGTGGAAAGCGGAGAAGGAGAACTCCCCACTTTTAGAAAAAAGCAGTGGACTTGTACTTCCACCCCAGGTGGAGTAACAGGGACCAGATTTACTGTTCCACCTGATGTAGTAAAAAAAAAAAAAAAAAAAACAGACCATAGAAAATGAGGTTACATGGCAGTTTGTTTTGTTTGGTGGGACTGAGGTTTGAACTCAGGGCTTCTGACTTACAAAGCAGGAACTCTACCACTTGAGCCATACCTACAGTTTCATTTTGCTGTGGTCATTTTGGAGATGGGGATCTCATGGACTGTTTGTCTGGGCTGGCCTCAAACTGTGATCCTCCCGATCTCACCCTCCCAGGTTGCTAGGATTACAATCATAAACCATTGGCGCCCAATGAGGTGTTGTGTTTAAGGCCCTGGAGTTTGGGCAAAAAAGAGATGTGAGGGCATTTGGCAGAGAGGAATCCAGTGAGGTGAATCCCATGGTTGCCCCAGCACCCTGCTGTGAGAGTTCCCAGGATGCAGTGGAGAGAGGGGACCCAGGTAGAGCCTGACAGACTGAATTGAGGAGACAGAACTAAGAGTCTTTGGAGACCAAGGCAGCTAGAATTTGCAGGACGCAGTACCAAAGAAGAAAGAGCCACTCAGAGAAAGAATTCCAGAAATCTGCAGAGGGTTCATCTTGAGTGTTCTGCAGAGTACTGATAATGCATTTGAGAAAATGCATTATCCTGAGTCAGGAGAGAAAAACAT